GTACGGGACAACGTGTGGAAGGGCGGCGCGGGTGAAGAGCTTGAAGCCGCACTGGGTGTCGCGGAGGCGGGATGTGGCGGGCGGGGTGAGAATCATAAGCACGAGGTGGAAGGATCGCATGAGGAAGTTACGCAGGGCAGATCGCTTGGTCATGTTAGCATCTTGATCTGGGATTGAGGGGCCTTGCGAGAGGAACATACCTTTACAACAGCCTCGCTGCCTACAAGGTGGGCGCGGCTGCCAATAGCAACACCGCGATGCGAGCCGTCAACAACCTCCTCGCAACCCTGAATCAGACGTCCCAGGTCGCTGAACTTTGTAGCACCGTCGGCGTCGGCAAAGAGCACATACTCGCCACGAGCGTGGCGGAAGCCATGAGTGACGGCGCCACCCTTTCCGCGGTTGCGCTCGAGCTTGATGACGCGTATGACATCGTGGAGCCCCTTCTTCTGCGCAAAGTCGAGGCAGACCTCGACGGTGCTGTCCCTGGATCCGTCGTCCACAATCAGGATTTCATAGCCGGTGAGGGCCTCGGAGGGCGGGTTCTTGTAGCGTCGGCGCGGGGTTGTAGGGCTGAGGAGGGGCTTGGTCGGGGAGGAGGGGCGGCCAAAGTTCTCGTCGAGGTATTCAACTGCTTCCTCGAGGGTTGGAAGAATGCGGGTGGCTTCATTGTAGGCGGGAAGCACGACGGTTAGGCGCACGTCCGCAGGGTCGATTGTCGCACCAGAGTCGGGGACATCGCGAGGATCGGTCAAGTGTGCGCGCGCCTCAGAGACGCTGCGCTCGGCGAACCAGCGGTCAAACCAGGAAGGGGCTGTGACCTGGACTGGCTTTCCGGAGGCAGAGGAGGTGAGGTAGACTTTCTCGGAAGGGAGTACGGCGCGCGGCTTGGGAGCGACGAGGTGGAGGGTGATGAAGATCTGTCGAAGGTAGACTGTCAGCTTCAATTGGGTTCAAATGGAGATATTTGGTTGGAAAGTCGAGCTGTCCATATTGATGGGGGAGCTAGCTTACAGTAAGAAGACCAGCAGCGGCAAGACTAAGCAGCGCGACGCCAAGGGCCGGCCACGATGCCTGGGTTATCTGATCCATTGTGTAGTTGCGATGGTGACCATGAGCACTGACTGGCGTCGGAATTGCCTTTGGTCAGTGCCGGCGAGGGAAAGAGTGAATATTGCGAGAATTACAATGAAAAGGAAAGAGGTATCTGTTGCACCCACAACAAAAGAACGAGAAAGAAAATTGCTGCAACTGCCGCAGCTGCAGCTTGAATTCAATGACAATGAGACGAACGCATCGACTGAATTGATGGGTATGTAACATCGGCACCACCGTTTATGGGGTTCTGGGATACGTAATGCGGAACGCGGCAGCTCGCGGGAGCCCCCCTTTTGTGGCTTAACGAGGCTGGCCAATTGGGTTGGACCCCTGGGGACACCTTCCAATGGCAAGAGTCAATTGGCATAGAGGGGTAGGTACCTGTCTTTCCTAGCGTACCTCTCTAGGTGCCTTCCGCAGGCAGGTAGGTCCCCTGAGGGGATGCTCTTGCCCACTATTTTCGGCTTGTGGGGGATAAGGTACACTGTAGCCTCGCATTAGCACCTTCCATTGTAAGTTCAGATGGGCCTGGGCAGCATGTTCGATGCAAATGTGCCTTTGGCATGAATCGCATTCTTCACCTACAGATACCTATTTTTGGGAGCAATATCGTATTTGTTCGGCACCACCCGAGAGAGTCTTCTCTTGCATTTTATCAGCGTAACCCTACCTATTCGGACTCTTCTGCACACGACTGGCAGCCGAAACCTCTTCAACGTATTCTCCGAGTCGCTCGACATCATCTCTTCTCTTGACGGATATCCTCACTGAAGTATTGTGTGTAGGGGCAATGGAGAATGGCAACGACGCGCTTCGAGCCGAGCCACAGTCAACGAACATGCTACGTCAGTTTCCGACCCAAGACATCGCAATGCTGTACCATGAACAGACCCATTGCGGTCCGCGCCAACCCACATTCCAGGACCACAGCTTAACCCTTACCCCATGCTGCGATGAAAGAAAGCCTCAAATCGCCATACCTCTGCAGATGCCATCTCGTATATACCCAATGACGATAGTCGCTCTTAATCTTTTTCCCAACTTCTCTACCTAGGCCACATACGAGATCATAGAAGTCAAGCGTGTTGTCATCAGCGGCACCTGAGCCGCTCGCTGCAAGCCGCCATTACTGGTAAATGCCCTGCGTCCCCAAAGCCACGCGACGCCTCATAAGCTCGGTCCTGGGAGTGATGTGAAGAGGTGTATCTGGTACCTTTATCCCATCTTACACCGTCGTCACCTCCCGTGCCGTCCAGACAAGACCATAAAAGTGGCCAGCCATCAATGGGTCGAATGCTATCCAATGACTACATCTGACAAGCCTCCAAGCGAGCGCCAAAGAACTATCGCCAACTTTGAAATTGAGGAACTCCGGAACCCCAGTCTCGCGAGGAGCGCACGATCAACCAGGGGTCATCCAGAGCCGCCCAGACGGTTCCTTCAAGCCACGGCTCACCAGAGCTGAGCGCAAGTCGGTCTTCCTGTGGAAATTGCTAACCAAGCCCTTCCCGTGCTCTTCCCCGGCGCCTCTCGAGTTCAGGTCTACCCAGATTCGGCCAACTGCTTGATATAGTTAGTTGTAAGCGAGGAGAGAAGAGAGAAGCACATCTGTTCCAACACTCACTCGGTCCCCGAACGCTCCGCCTGAATTTTCCCCTCCTAGATGCAAGTCAGACAGGTAGCCAAGGCTGCCAACGTGAGCTGGGCCGGTCTGTACCAAACGAAACGTCCGAGAACCTGCATGCAACCCATCCCAACGGAGCCAATAGACCGGGCTGCATTTGCCCAGCATTACTATCGCTCTGGGCACTGAGGAGTGCCTAATCAATGAAAAGGGGATACAGGATTGAAGCCACCGAGGCAGGGTAAAAGCGCCTGAGTTGCACCGCATATGCCATGCGGCGCACAATCCTCCGCCACCAGTCAATATTCCATCGAACCCTGCATAGCTTTGTTCGGCCGAAGACTGGCTGACATACAGGTTGACTCAGCCCGATTATGGCCGCTGCCGCTGCCCATGCCAAAACATAGCAATTGCAATACTGGCTTGACGATAGTATGAGCCTGCAGCTTCGAGGAAACAGAGCATCAGACGAGCATATCGGCATCGTGCATTTCCGTGTCTTTAAAGGACCTCATCCTTGGTTCCCAGTGACGAGTTGGCTTGTCGTCGACCCTGAGACAACAAGAATCCACCTATTCAAGCATCATCTTGCTCAGCCTGCTTCGCCAAACCTGACCCATCACATCTGCGGGCCTACCCTCAGGGCTCGAGCTACCTCTGGCGCATATGCAAGGACTCGATAACGCGTGTGTTGGCGTTGCCATCAGTCTCCACCGCCATTGTCCAAATCCACGCGTGTGGGGGTTGAGGAGGGGGTCGCCTGTTGTATCGACAACTTAAGCAAGACGGCTGGACGCGTCAAACTCGTCTTCGTCATCTACGCTAGACCCATACTCCAAAGCTCTTCGCTCCTGACGATCCCTGGGCATTGCCTGCCGGCCACGTTCATGTGCGAAACCTCGCGTGGACCCTGACGATCTCTTTCCCTTTTACACGAGACTATCCGGACAGTGGTATCCGTACATCTTTGACAATCGGCGTGCCCGCGGTACTGGGTCCTGGCCGCTCGGATCAAGCAGCCCGCTCCGGACGGAAAGCGACACCTTTGGCTATTTCTTGCCATTTGCATTGGCCGAATCGTCAATAGCACTGACGATCGCAATTCGCACACGGCATCTTGATCTAGATTGGCAAAGCTTTCCAAGTTCCAGCTGCTCGTTTGCTGTGCTAACCTTACCATCTAGGGAAACACACTAAAGACACTAAACCTTGCCTCTTCTAGTCCGGTCCCGACGGACGACGACTTTTGGATATAGCTTTATCAAGCTATCAGCCGGGAACAGAAGAGAGTGGGATAGCTAACCTGACGCCACACGAATCAAGGTTTTTCAAAAGTCTGGCGACCGATGGGGAAGAATGTCCATCAAGTCCTCCTGAAGGCCAAGCCTTACTAGGCTGGCTGGTGGACAAGTTAGCAAGCGTAGAAAGTCGGGTCTCTGAGCCTTGTGTCTCTCCTTCTCTCTGCCGTGCCGTGCCCCCGAGACATTCAAATTGTCTCATTCACAGAGGTGGAATTTCCACCTTCCTAGGCACGCACGAAAGCTCAGAGTGCCAATGTCTCGCCCACACGCTGACCATGATGTAAGACTCGCTGTAATGTTGTACTGGGGACGTCACTTGAACTACAAGGGGGCGAGGAGAAGAAAAAATATGAGCTTATTTTTGTCTCCATCTGTTTCTTTTTTCCTCCCGTCTTATCGATGATCGAAGGTCTCTCGTTTCGAGACCTTCCCCACGTGAATGCGGATCTTTGTCTCGAGTCGAAATGAAGCTCGACATCAGTTCATGCAAAGTGCAAGAAAAAAAAAGGTAGACATATTGAGACTTTGTAGATGTGGGCTTCGATATTTCATTTCGCTGGTCGCTATTCTGCCAACGTTGTAGTAATGGTAGTAATATGAGAGGTAAGGAAAGTGTCTATGTTATCGGTATAAGTTGTGGTCATGATATGGTCATCAAATAAACAAGAAAACAATTGGACCCGTCCCGGATCCGACCCTGAAGATGTTCAAGTCCCTGTCAAGTATCCAGTGTTGCTGAAGTCCAGCGGCAGCAACTCTGAAAGATGCCCCCTGTCGATTTTTTTCGATCCCAAAGTGTTGCATGATTGGAAGCCAAGAGACCCCGAGTCTCATGGCGTCATTGTAGTAAGACATTATCCTCAAACGCCCGCGCAAGTTTTAGAAAGAGGCTATAGTTTGGCACCCGAATCCATGAGCAAATGTTGACGTAGGAAAGATGTGTTTGTATGGTGTAAATGGTGGCGTCTTAGTACCGTTTAAACGGCAACGGCGGATGAGCTCTTTGTTGACCAACGGCTCTTCTTAGTCAGCTTAGAGCCGGCTTGCTTCGAAAGGCGCTTTCCGGCCTTGTTGCTAGAAACGACTTCAGACGGCGCGGCGCTGACCATTTCGACGGCGACGGCGTTGTTGATAACATGCGGCGGTGTGGTGTCGCGGCGAGTGTTCTCGTAGGGGATGCTGGCTACGCTGACTGCCTTCTCCGTGTGAGAGTCGATGGTCTCCAATTCGGTGAAACGCGTGACCTTGGACTTGGAGGTGCTGCGACGGTCCTTCTGTTTCAAGGCAGACGGCGCAGCTGCAACGGGTTGCGGGGCGTAGGTGTAAGAACCGCCTTCTTCCTCTTCTTCGACGGACTCATACACTGGCTCGGGCGTTACACAAGCTGCTGGTGTAGTAGCAGCCGACGATCTTCCAGACATGGGCGCCGAGAAGGGGGCGCCGGTGTTGATATTGAAGTTGAATGAAGAGAATCCCGAGGAAGAGCGGACGCTAGCAGTCGAGGCGGCTGACGAGGCAACCATGTTTTGTTGGGTTGCCGGAGAGTTGTTGAACTGCATCGGGGGAAGAGACGTCATTGCCGGGATTGCACTGAATCCACGCATCGACGGCGGCGGCTTGCTTCGGTCTGTAGAAGGCGAAGAGTGCTCGGCTTTCGGGGAGCCATCGGCACGCTCCGATGCATCCGATGCCCGGCGAGAACTCGGGTGAAGACGGTGGGTGTGAACAGCAGCGGCCGGGTTTCGAGGTGCCTGTGAGGCAGCAGGTGGCATGGAAACATGACGAGCGGGCTTCATCTCCAGGTCCTCCTGTGAGCTGGTCGAGCGGCTTGAGCTACCCGTGGGAGATTCGGCTGCTAGGTATTAGTCTCTGGCTCTCTTTCGAACTGGCAGGATCATGTAGTGTGACCTACCTTTGATGGATGACGGACTGTTGCGCCCCGAAGCATACGACCTATCAACCTCTTTGCCCTTGAGTGAACCCTTGAGTGAGATGCGGCTGCCGTCGGGGACTCCATAGATGGAGTTGGTGTTGCGTTCCTGCCAGTAAGGCATCGGGGGCGGACCGCCGCTATAGCTGTATGCCCTGGGCATAGTGCCCATCGGGCTGGCGTGAGCGGAAGGATAGGTGACGTGCGAGAGACTGCTTGAGACGCGAGGCAGACTTGGGCCGGGCATTCTGCTCAAGCCGCTGGCGGCCATCGCACTTCGCCGTCGGTTCTGTTCCATAATCCTGGGTCGGTCCTCATGCTTAAATGCTGATGGTGCTCCTGCAAGCGCGTCGATGGCGGCATGAGTAGGAATGTGCTTGTACGGCTGTTTCGGTGCCTCTGCGGCCTTCTCTGCCTGCTTTTGCTTGTGCTCCTTGGCCTGTTGTCTAGACTTCTTGAAAAGCGAAAAGACAGCCATCTTGGTCTTTTCTTTGGTACCGTTGGGCCCACGATGATAAGGTTGTTTAGCAGAGACGGTGGGAGCCGCCAATAATGAACCACACTTGGACTAGTAAACCAACGATATCTCTGTTGGAAGAGAAGAGACGGTAACGGCTACGGCTCCTTGTGGTGGGAGATGAAAAGATAATAAAGGCAACGGCCGGGGTACTGTTGTTCTATGACTGGCAGGATTTCGTATAAGTCGAGCCCGGGCAGCTGGTTTGGGCTATACTCAGGCCGCACAGGTGAAACTCGGCCGGTACCACAGACCAAATCCCAGCTCGGATGACTCTCTGACTTGGCGATATGGGAAAGGTGTCGGCTTGGCGAAAAGTCGTCCGTTCACTTTCACTAGTAGCGGTCGTTATGGGAGATGGCTCGTGCCTCTCTGGCAGGTGGACGGATGGATGTTGGGAGGTTGAAGCGAGAGTTGAACGAGTATTGTACCACAGGTAGGGCAGGTTGGGGAGGGATATAAGCAAATAACTATCAAGCAGCCTTAGGTAATGCTTGCCCGGAAAAGCGGATTGCAAAAGCCAAAGTAATATGGATAGATGAGCGAGAGTTGGGAGGAACACCAGGCAGCTCAGAAGGGAAGCTGGGTTCGGTCGGGAGCCCAGGTTCCTTTAAGGCGTGGCGGTGGTGTGTGTCTTGGGGTTGGACATGGGATATGCATGGGGGTGGTGGCAGAAGGAGATGGGATGGGTGCATGGACGACGTGGATTGGGACAATTCCCAAGCGGGGGTCCCAGACGACGTGCAGCTCGCTCGTTTTCTCTGCAGCTTCTGGCTCCCGAGGGATCCAATGTGTGTCTTTTCTTGGCAACCAAGGCGAGTCCAGCCTTCAGGACGATCCCGACTAAGACGCTGGAAGATGGCGCCGCCGTCAGTCCCGCTTCTTGGGTAGAGGAACCCGTACGATAGTGTCAATGGTGTCGCCGGGCTGCCGTCAGACTTCAGTACGTCTTCGTTCGTCCCGGTCCATCTGTCGATACCCCTGAGTCGCACGGTCAGGTCCAGGTCCAGAAGCTGACTGAGATAGCGTCCTTGGACGACTCGCGGCTTGGGATTCAAGAGAGGACGCGAATGCACCAACAAGAAGGTCACTAGCCTAAGCTTTTGACAGATTTGGAACCAACGCTCGGCACCGGCTTCTGAGGATGTGTAGGACTGGACCGGCATGGGATGGGACCTGTGACCATCGTCTCCGAACCATGGTGACAATCTACTCAGGCTGGTATTGGCCTCCCCTCGTTTCGTGTCATGACCAAAGTTGGGTTCAAGTTTCTTAATGCCTTTTCCCAGCGCCGCACAGCAAATCACAGGTGCAGCGGCTCAGCAAGGACTGGTCGCCCGGTAAAGATTGGCGGCTGTCTATTCTGCTTGGCTTGATTGGGCCCGTAATACGTGTAGATTTGTGCAGTAGAGAGACGTTTGGCGTTTTGTGCCTTTTTTTTTTTTTTTTTTTGCTTGACCAAACGGCCCTCGTATTCGAGAGACAGGTAGCGGTACCTTGTTGCAGGGATGCGCCGGCTCCAGCACGAGCGTTGTGATCGTGGCAGTAAAAGAAAGTCTTTGGTTGGAATTCGATAGCGTCGGTGGGAGACAAGCCGCTAGACGACGCCCAGGTACCCAGTACTAGATCATCAGCACGGAAACTCGCGCGGACATTCCAGGGCCCCGATTGATGGCGCTGGTGTCGGCGTTGGCTTCACGTTTAGGTTGTTCCCCATGAGCGGAGGACCCAGCCCAGCCGCACTGGACAGGGGCACGTCGAGCTAAAGTTGCTGGTCCGCTTCAGGGGAATCAGGGCCCGGTGATGGATACTCAGTGAGGGTGGATGATGCCGATGATGAATTGGCGAATTGCTGATGGTGTGCCAATGTGCCCCTCCCCCCGTCCGTCCCGTAAGTCTCGCCCTCCCACCACCAATACCGCTACCATGAGTGTGTGCCTGACCACCACCACGCATCGCCCTCGTCGTCGCCGCCGTCGACTAGGCTAGGTCAAGTAAGACCAGCGGTCGACTGTCTGACGTTGTGTCAACGGGTCTTTTGTTCTCAAAGCCGACCATGGCAACGAGCGGGGGAAGCAGAAAGCTACTGCAGCGTGGTCTATCTTTGGGCTTCCATCGTAGGTGTCCTATACGCCACTCGGCATGTATTCCCATTACATCAACGACAATCCTCTTACTTATTACACGAGACCGAAACTTTGGCTGGACGTGACGATCTTGGTGTTGTTTTGCGTTCTCCGTTTTCTGCCTTCTTCTTCTTCGTCGTTGTCGTCATGCAATGTCGTCAGTCTTCTTCTGTACAATCAAGACTGCTGGCGTTCGAAAGAGGCAGTGAAGCAGTCAGCGACAACGTCCCGGCGGCAACGAAGTGCTCCTTTGAAAAAGGTTCGGCCCCATGCCGAACCAAGGCCCACAGGTCTCACCCCAGGGCGGGCAGGTCGCAAACGAGACCATGGAGCGGCTGGATATCGCAAATTCCCCTTGGTCGACGACGGTTTGCCATTTCCTGCTTTTTTGTGGGCATCGTAATCGTTGAAAGTGTTTTGGCGTGGCATGGAGTGTGAGCGTGGGAGGGTATCATGTATGTAAGATTATACCCCTGTCCGAAGCTTGCTTGTGCCGGTGGATAGCCAGCAGGGCTAGGCAGCTGGTATGAACATGGATTGCATTAAGATGTGAGACGGGTTGGCGGTACGGCCACACGGCGAAGAGACATATCGACGATTGTAAGTTACCAACTTGCTGGGGGGTCGGATGGCGGGAACCATCTGCCGCCACGGACTGCCCTAAGGCAATGTCCCAGCTGCTCGTACGTACCTCCGTACAGAGTACCAGTCAGGTAGGTAAGGTAGGTACCTAAGGTAGGTAGGTCTGCTGGAGCAGGAAGGCATGAAGGCTAGGCGAACCGAATTTGACCTTGCGAAGGAAGGAATTATCGAATAGCAATCTTGCCTCCTTCCATGTGGTGCTCCTCGCGGGTACGTACTTACCGTATCCTCACTCAACGGAAGGTACCTTAAGGTAGGCAATGTACCTAAGATAAGGTATTATGCATCATTGCGATTCATCCATCGTGCTTACCTTGCCTGTCTTATTACAAGGTGCCTCATGTTGTGGAACATTCAGGTGTTCGACTCATCTTATCTTTTCATCATCTTGGATCCAGTCTTCATCCAGTAAGTTCGGTCAAACGTACATCTGCATATGTACATCTCTGCTCCAACAATTGGTTCGTCTTCTTGCACTCAGAGTCAGTGTGTCTCTCAACTGCAGGGCATACCTCGCCAAAGCGGAACTGACAGCCGGACCATGCGAGGATTCCATGTCCCGTTTTCGACTGTGTATGTCGAGCTCAGTTCAGCCTGGTGAGCCGTGACAACCTATCAACGCACCTCATATGCCGGCCGTCTTGACTATCAAGAACTAACCGCGGATGGTGCCTGGTTCCTGGTGCCAAGTAACCCGTCTCAAACTCACCTGGATTGTCGCTGTCATTCCCTCGGACACTTTCACAATCCTTGACGCAAGTACCAAGCCCAGCTCATCACAATCGACCAGGATGACTCAATAATTCCGAGCTCGCATGTTAAGCCCTTCATTTCACCGAATGGATTACAGATAACACCAGCCTTTCTTACCGCACAATCTGTATAAACGCCCAAACAAGCCTGCATTGCGTGCTCTCTCAGTCCCTCTTACTCGGCACCGGCACGCCACGCCACGTACATGCACACCGCAACATAGAAAGAGCAAGAAGAAGAAAAAATTCCCCGACCGTCGCCATCATCCTCGTTCGCGTTTCCGACGCACATGCTCTTGCATGATACCTAGTCCAACCCGGTTGCTTGGACCAAAAGCAGACGATACGGACAGACAGCACGCTGAGCCGGGGGTGTGCTCAACGTTCGGCCACCTGAAAGCAGCAGCAGTCAAGGTCAAAGTACGTGCAGCGCGCCCGTTTGGGTCCATTCGTTGCTCGCTTTGGGAATATGGAGCTTTTCAGCTCACCTACCTATTTCCCTATCTTGAACACCCCCCCAGCAGCCTGGCCCTAGAAATATTGATTTTTCAGAGTTCTTAGCCTTGTCGAGGTGGGAAACACTGCCCTCCAAGTCTGGCTGGAAACATCCCGCGCTGAGCTTGGCTATCGCCGCGAGATAGACTCGTCATGCAGGCTACTGTCGCATCACCGGGCGCCGGATTCAACCCTCTGGTTTACTCCGTACACTACGGAGTACCTCTCCCTTATCTTTGGGATCACTGCTTCCACGGGGAGTAAGGGTAAAAGGCCACAGGACTCGTGTAGGCTTGACTTCCGACGTCGAAAACATGTCCAGTCAAGTAGACTCTAGAAGTCTCTCGGTCTGGGCCTTCGAAGGGTGGCTTTTCAGCCTCACATACAAAGCAGTGTGATCATGAGGGCAGAATCTGTACTACCAAACATCCTCGTTACCCGTGTGCAACCAAAATCTATAGACTTATGTGGCTTGGTACCGACAAACTGGTCGGCGAAGGGATTGATACCTTCAGCCAGCCGCAGCCGCAACCAAGCTTGAAAAAGGCCTAGCTTAGCCATCTTGGTAGAGTTTCGAAAATTGGTGAAGGGGGTTTGATGATCATTTGATGAGTCTAGCTTTGGAAAGCTCTACGGAGTACTATGGAGCTGCCGTGATAATGCCGGACGAGCGACCGAACCCCCCCCCCCCCCCCACAACTCGCACGCTGCCACGCACTCAGTTCGCAGTCAGCCGCGTCGAAGCCATCCAACCTTGGCCTAGCTATCATGTCTCTCTTCCAGGGTGCGTGGCACGACTGACCGTGGGAGTGTGTATCTCTCAGAGAGTCTCAGTCGGCCACGGCTACGGGCCCACGGGGGGCTATTTCAAGTTCGTGGCTGGACCGTCCCGATCAACGCATGGGTGGGTGGTGCCTATCAATATTCTGCGCCATCCAATACGACCCTGCCATGGGATAATGTTCCGTTGCATTTCATGCCCCGGGGCCATTCCACTCACCGAACCGTAATCATATCAGTTAGCGAGTGTATGGGAAAGGCAAGTCGTATACCACTTTCATCGGCGATAACACGCGAGAAGTAAGGACACATCACATTCGAAAAAGATGAGGTCATTCACGTCAAAGTCAGACTCGCATGCCGCTGCCACGTTCGAATCGCTCTTGTCACACGTGCTTCCGCAACATTTGAACGGCCGTATCGAGTTGTGAAAAACACGAGGTAATTTCGTCCAGTCTGACATGCATAGGTAGCAGACCGCCGTCTCCTACACCTATCAGTACGGCACAAGCACCTCCGGATAGCGACATAGATAAGATGCTGAGTCGAAGCGCCTTTGAATCTCATCCCCTTTTCTTGCCTTCTTCATCCTCCTCGTCCTCGTCCTCCTCCTCCAGGAAGGAAAAAAACTTGTTTGTCCTGCTTCATCAAGATTGTTGGGACTAAACAAGGCGCCGCGCTAGGTACCTGTTCCCATGTAAGTTGACAAGGACCCTGGTTTTTTGGCGCGCACCCCCGAAAGGTGGAATTTTTCCGTTCGGCGAGCCTTTTCGCCAGTCAGATGGATGCCAGCAGACAGTTCCCGGCCCGCCCGGGTTGCGGTCCCCACCCCCCTGCTAGGGCGTTCAATGATTGTTCCTAGGCTCCGACGCCGGTCGTTAAATAATTATTTCCAGGTTTCCGAGTTGGTTCAGGCTGCAGAGAACCCTGCTCCAGCCTCCGAGTTGTGACTATGCACAAAGTACTGGATCTCGCTGTAAGAGAGGCCTTGTCGAGATTACCCTACGTGCACTGATGCAGTGGCAGGAGTGAGAACCGCAAAGAGATGCAAAGTGGAAGTGCTGCAACATAAGACCAGCCTCTGCGATTGTCCCATTTCCTCTCGATGCTGTCTAAATTCTTGGCGCAGGCCGATAGTTGTCTCAATTCCCACAACTTTCGCTATGCGAACCCTGACGATCAGGAGCACGCGTCAACCGGTACTTGCTTAGTTTGCTCGAGGTCCCCTGGAATGCAGCGGATCAGATTTCGAGGGGTTGACAGCTGACAGATTCGGAAGAGTTTCTCGCTTGTAAGGGCCGTAGCTCGCGTACCATCAAGTACGCCGATCCGGGAGTACCGGCTGAGCCTAAATCGTGAAACTGTAGGCTGCCGTTGGAATAGACCCGAGTCGTCTGTCTTTTCTTTGTCCTCTTCTGCGCCACTGCTCCATCAGAGCTGATCGACTTGACGTACTCGTGACTGTGGCATCACAAGCTCGAAGTGGTCGAAAGGGAACAGTCCATGGAAGGGCTGCTTCGACAACCTTTGAAAGCATTGGGCCGGGCTCAGTGACAATGTCCATGGTCAACATGTACATTGCAATGCGCCGGTTGATTCATGGAGGCAACGATTTGGGCCGTCCAAGACTCGTACGCCAAACCGGTAAACCCTGGATCGTCAAGATCGTCAGTGCAAGGGAATTGCGGCTACGCGATTTCGGACCACTTTCGACTCTTCTGACGACATTGAAAGAAGCTAGCGAGGGCCGAAGTTCAGATTTTCCTCCATCGCAGTGACGATGACGAAAGACCATTTCGTCCAGGCTGGGGCATTGCCGCTGATCAGGCATACGTCGTGGCTTGCCTGATACTTGCATTTGAGAGGCAATATCTCCAATGTGTGATAGCCTGAGCGACTTTCGCACTTGGGTTGTTGGGTGACTCGCGGCTGTGCTGTTGTTGCCCAAGAGCTCGTTGTGCATCGCTCGCACGTATCGTATCGATCGATGATTAAAAGTCCGCAAAGCGGACTTTTGATATGACATCAAAGCTCCTTCACTCTGTAAGTCGCATCCCTACAGGGCTCAATTAGACTTCGTCATTTCCTGAGGATTTAACAAGCAGCATTGTCAGCCGGAGAGAAAACGAATATATAAGATGCCGGAAGTGGGGGTCGAAAATGTGATATCACGAAGATGGAGCCCTCAATCCCTGCATGAAATTCAATTCTTAATTCTCAGAAAACCCAAGGGCCATTGTTCCGATGCGGCGATGCCCCAATGCCCCAATGCCCCAGTGATGTGGCACGAGCTTCTGGTGTGATCTGCACGGGAGCACCCAAGCAAGAAATGGGGTTTTGGGTCCATTGCTGTAAGCGGGCACGCACTATATCAGATGCGACGCATGCTTGTCTATCAAGACTTGGAACGGCGATGTTTCGAAACGTCGGGTTTTGGAATTGGTACTCTGCTGCCGGCCGGTGAAGATGAGTTCATGGAAGCGCTTGTTGGTATGAGCGGCACGTGGACTCAACGGATTTGCGACAGCAAGATAGCTGAGAAGCCCAGCAAGGCCAGTCAGAAGTTGAGTACCTAGGTGGGTACTCTGGTCGTGTAAGCTGATGATGAGGAATGTTGTCCCCGTCTCCATTCCGGCATTCCGAGCAATTGGGATCCCTACCTTAGGCTTCGATCATCGAACGTATGAGATGCGGGGAAGGATTCTCTACCTGACGTAGTGGTTCGAGGAAGGGCATCTTTGTCCTGGGTCCAACAAACGCTGGTTCCACGGAACAGCCCGGCCTAACGGCTGATATCGAAAAGCAGAAACGTAGAATGACGAGGATGAGCAGTAAATAGGATAAGGTTAAATGAAGGTGTGTCCCCCGAGCGAGCATACCTAACAAAACCCTACACTTAGGTACCTTGGGCGCGCTTGCTTTCCCGCGCTTCTGCAGGGACCTCACGGTGCCGCCAACCCTTGACTTCTGACTTCTTTCATACCTGGATTTGCCTCGGAAAGGTAGGCGGGTCAGTATCTTTGAATATATACTTTTAGATACCTTGGGTAAGGTGATATGTCTGCGAAACAAGGGATACTAGTTTGACAAAAGTATCCACGATTGACGGCTCCTAGTATGGGAACCTTGAAAAATATGAGGTGGACTGTCGCTTGATGCCCGATGGGATGTTTAGTCATCTGACCCCGCCAATCGATAAACAGCAGGCGAGCGCCTACCAAAAGCAGATAATTAGACGAGTAGCCGCACGTTGACGCAAGCCTCCCACCTTGCCCGCCCACGCTGCCCCAGTGGTTGTCGCGGGTGCGAGGTGGTAGGTGCGTCGAGTCCACAATCGGCTAGTGCGATGCGGGTACCGAACCAGAAAGCGGCGAGTGGGAGCGATGAGCGGTAGGGTCACAGTGCGGTGAGTGGGCACTTGTGGGGCCTGATCGAGCAACCAGCAAAGCTGCCAGCCCAAGGAATCACGCGCATTGGACTGTCCCGTCCCACCATACACGGCCACGCAGCACGCAGTATCCGTACGCAGAGGTGCCACCCACCTGCACCCAGTGCCAGCGACAGCAGTCCGCGCAGTTTCCGTCCCAGCGTGAGAGGTGCCAGACCAGCCAGCCCAGTCAAGTCCCGTACCCAGTCACCCAGTCCCAGAGTCCCCAGTTTGCCTCCTCTGTCCGACCAACCGACCGACCGACCGACCGAATACAGCCTCAAAGTTCTTCCATCTCATCATCATCTGCCATCCCACGCAACCCAAAAATTTTGCGCCGCGACGCCGCAGTCGACGACATCCAAACTTCAGTTTCGCCGCCTTCCATCCGTGCAAGCGCGTTGCTTATCATTGTCGCCTGCACTCCGCTATCGCTGTCGCGTCAGCCGCAGCATCCTTCTTTCTCCCCAACGCATATACCGTGCCTTGCGTTGCTCAACTCCCCGGCACCCGCCAATCGCGCGACCCGACCGCCCCCTCCCATTTTGATGGCTCCCTGATCATCTCGACCCTACGTCACCCGGGCACATCTCGTGGCCACGCATTCATCGACGACGATAAACATCTTCTCGCACGAGCGAGCTCAAGACTTCTCGTCCCCGACCGACCGACCTCTCGCTAGAGAGCCGCGCCCCATTCCAGGCGCGACCGAACGACGGGAAAGTGGCGCTCACCATCCTCACCCAGACCGACGCCGAGCTTTCCCTTCAACAACACCTCGACCTCGCTCCCGATATCCTTAGCTACCCCCGTCTCACTATCGAGGGGGGCACCGAACCATTGATGATGGCACAACCCGTGCCTCATCATGCGACGGACAAGAAACGCGTCAAGGTCTATGAGCTGCGCAACAATGACTGGTTCGATCGCGGCACCGGCTTCTGTACCGCTGCTTTCATGCAGGTATGTCTTGTCACGCGCCTATACATTGTCGCGGCCTCGCCTTCTCCGCCGTCGATGCCTCCTCTATCAACATATCAAAAGTCTTGATGCTAACATAATGGTGCTCGTCAGACGGCGGATGATCAGCGCGGAGACCCTAGAGTCATAGTTGAATCAGAAGACCACCCCGATAGGCTTCTATTGGAGACCAAAATTTGCAAAGAGGATGGCTTCCAGAAGCAGCAAGGCAAGTCCCACGGCATCTCAGTGTGCGGCGCAGATAGACTGACTCCTGAAAACAGAGACTCTCATTGTCTGGACAGAACCCAGCAATGGCATCGATATGGCCCTCTCATTCCAGGAGGCGGATGGCTGTGCACTGATATGGTAAGCGCTGGCTTCGTACATCCGCCATTGATGTTCATTGCTCATCACTTTTCTTTCCAATAGGAAATTCGTCAACAGCGTGCAACAGACTTTCCAGAATGGCATGGTCGCTGCCGGTAAGTCGCGTGCTAACGGGGACCGTTTTGGACGACCCCAGTCTAACGTTTTCCATTCAGACGATAGTCTTTCCGACGATCTAGCCATGGAAATGCCCAGCACCATCAGCCTTCCACCAGCCGAAATCGGGAATCTCCAGGAAATTGAGACTAGCATGCGCATAATGAGTCAGACAGTCAATGGACGAGACGCACTGGCTAAGTGCATCATGGGCGAGGACTATATTGGCAAACTGATTCCTTTGGTCGAAATGGCCGAAGATCTCGAGAGCCTATCAGATTTGCACCGACTTTGCAACATCATGAAGACCGTCATTCTTCTCAACGACACCGCCATAATAGAACATGCCGTGTCCGACGACTGCGTTCTAGGCGTCGTAGGCGCTCTCGAATACGATCCCGATTTCCCGAGCCACAAAGCCAACCACCGCCACTGGCTAGATAACCAAGGACGGTACAAGGAGGTCGTACCGATCCAGGACGACCAGATCAGGAGGAAAATCCATCAGACCTACCGACTTCAGTACTTGAAGGACGTTGTACTGGCACGCATACTGGATGATCCCACTTTTTCCGTTCTCAACTCTCTGATTTTCTTCAACCAGGTGGATATTGTCCAGCATCTGCAAGGGAATGGAGAATTTCTTGGTGACCTTTTCGGCATCTTCAAGATAACGCAAACGGATCAGAGACGGAAGAAGGAGGCTGTTCTGTTCATTCAGCAATGTTGCGCCATTGCGAAGAATCTGCAGCCGCCGGCTCGCCAAACTCTTTACAACAACTTCATCGGTCACGGCCTGCTTCAGGTCATCAACTTTGGCCTGCGTCACCCTGATGTGAGCGTTCGGGTGGGCGCTACCGACGTTCTGGTATCCCTGATAGACCACGACCCGCACATGATTAGAGGCACCATTTATCGCCAACTTCATGAAAGGCAACCGCCCTTGACAGATTCGCTCATTGATCTGCTTTTGGTGGAAGTCGACCTTGGCGTCAAGGCACAGATTTCAGATGCCTTGAAGGTCCTTCTTGACCAGGGCCCTCCGCTCCAGTCGCAGGAGGCTTTCGCGAAAGCCAATGGGGAGTTCCCAGGCCGACGGCCCCAGGCAATGCAAGATCCTCAGCACGCCAACCTCCTTGACAACTTCTATGCTTCATCAGCAATAAGGCTCTTCAGGCCCCTCACCGATCTTCGAGGCCGCACCAACATGGCATTCCCATTGCAACAAGCCTCAATGTTCACATATCTCATCGAAATACTTTGCTTCTTCATCAGACAACACCAAGGGAAATGCAGACCCTTCGTTCACCAACAAGATCTACTTCGGCGAATTGCCCAGCTGTTTGCCTGCCCGGAGAAGTATCTACGACTAGGTTAGTCATTAGCTTTTCAAACGATCTCGTGCTTTGCTAACCGTAAATGCCAGTTGCCATTCGCTTCTTCCGTAACCTAGCAGGAATGCAAGATGAGTTTTACGATCGACTCATCATGGAACATGGCATCTTGGAGCCCTTGCTTGACATGGTCTCCCAATCTATGCATCGGGACAACCTCCTCAGCTCCGCTTGTGTCGAGTTTTTTGTATTCGTTACCGGACAAGAGCACAGAAAGGCCATGAACAAGTTCCTCGTCCAAAACTATCGGGAACGACTGGTCGATTTGAGTTACATGGAAACTTTCCGCAACGTCCTAGTACTCTACGACCAGACTCAAGGCCACACCGCCGAGTTCTACACGGAATCAGAAGAGGATCTGGCAAGACGGACGGCCGCCAACACCAATCAGAGGATGATGGAACACATCGCCGTAGATCAAGCCGAGGAGGATTACTTCAACACCTCGGATGACGAAGATGGACCTGAGAGCAGGGCTTTTGATAAGGTGCAGCCCACAAATGGCTCAGCAGCGTCAACATTAGCCTCAAAACCGCTGGTCGACTACCCTTCGGATGAAGAGGTGGATGAGAACGCTGATCCTGAGGTGCTGCCAACGTCTGGCGAAAAGCAAGACGGAACGGATGGCGCTTCCGATACGAGCAGTGAATCATCCTCGGTCGCACCGCCAGAACGCCTTTCTGAGAAGAGACGGCGCGAAGAAGATGATGACGATGAGCTCGGGAAGCTGATGCAGAACAAGCGCAGGAACAGTAGTTCTGCGGGGTCGAATGCATCAATGACATCAAGTATGGTCAGGAGAAAGAAAACCTTCGCAGATCGGCCAAATACAGCAGCGCCGAAAAAAATTGCTATCAGTATATCACCCTCAGTGAAGACCGGCGGGGCGGCGAGGTCGGATGATGAATCCTGAGCGTTTACCCTGGCATTCACTGCATGGCAGATTGCAGGTACGATTGGCGATGACTATTTCCATCATGCTTTAACTAGGGACCGGCGAGTTTGGGGGCGGTGAGGCGTTATTATCACAGTTCACGACACGGGAAATCGAGAAGAGTAACCAGAACTAGCTAGAGAGCCAGAAGGTGCGCCGGTGTGAGAGTGGCTAGAGGTTGATGCGAGGATCTGTCGTGCAGGATGGCAAGTTGACATTTCAGAGTGCGCCGACAGCAGAAAGGGCCCCTCTCCACCTCTTGTGGCGGTACCCTTGGTGGTAGGAGAGAACGGGAGTATGGGAGGGAGAAAGAAGAAAAGAGGACAAGTCCCACTGTGGTATGTTGGGCTCTGCGGGCTGGAATCGCCAAAGTAGCATCGTGTACCATATTCCTGTTGAAGTTTTCTTGCTTCGACGCCGGGTCCTCTTGCGGGGCCGGTGAGCCTGTTTCTACAAGGCTTTATTTTGCACTCGGGCGCGTTACCGTTCCAACCCATCTCTGAGCAAATACCAATTTGGATTTAACCAATTTTTCGGACTCCTGTGTGCCGTTGTGATCTGAAGTGAAGAGGGGAAAACCCTTTGGGTGATCCGGGTGAATGTTCGGCATCACCTGTTCACCTCTTGAGATACCTTTTTTGTGCAAGAGGCTCTGAAGTAGTCACTGGCCTCCTTGGTTTATGGATAATATGCATTCTATGTTGGCTGTTGTTTACATGTATATATCTATCGACGCCGTGAAGCTTACATTTGTGTGAATACATAGTTTATACGCCACTTGGTGTTGATAAATTCCAACGTTGCGTGGCATCTTACACAGGGGGGTTCCCATCATTCGGAACGCGGACACACCCCCCCCCCCCAAATCTGTCATCTCTATCTAAGTGTAGTCGATCTCCACGAGTAAGATGTCTTGCCTGGCTGCGACTCGGCCCCGTTCAAACCCCTGGGCCTTGCCGTAGAGTCCACAGGCACCTCGCGCTTACTTTGAACCCTCCTAACCAGGGTCGGCTGTGCGGAAGCAGGTGCAGGCGCAGACGCACCGGCAACATTGTCTTCGTCCTCGCTCATCGTGAACAGCTCTTGCTCTTGTCCAAAGGCCGCCGGTGCGAGACTATCAGCCTTGCTGGTGGTCTTGGGTTTAGAAGCGGCATGGGACATGGCGTCGACGAGGACCTTCTTAACCTCTGCCTTCTGGTCGAGGTTCTCCTTTCTCAAGGCCGTGCGGACCTCGTGGACAAGGGCCAGTATCTCATTATCGGACTGGATGAGCGCCTCGTCCTTGTCGGCCTCGGCGCTCTTCCGGAGGTACTGCACCGCCCAGTAGAGGCGGTACCTGACCTCCTTGGAAGTGCGGTACTCGCGTTTCATGAGCTCGGCGAGCAGCCAGCGCACCTTGCCATACTCGTGTCGGATCACGTAGGCGGCGAGGAGGTTATTGAAGTTGTAGACGCTGTAGCAGAGGTCACCGCGACCGTTGACTTCGGCCGCAATGATGCAGAATTGGACCATCTCCCGGTAGTTGCGCAGTTTCTCGCAGATGCGAGCGGCGCGGTTGAACAAGCCGTCGTCGATGTGGATATCTTTGAGGCGGAGGTCGTCGAAGACGGCCTTGATCTCAGGGTAGACCATACTTCGGCCGTCTTCACCCGCCATCCCGGCGCGGCGCTCTTCGATTTCGGCGAGTTGGCCGTGGACGATGGGATACATGGCCTCGTTGGTATCGCAACCTTCAGACTGCGCACTACTCAGGAGTGCCATGGCCTGTCTACTTCGAGGGCCTTCGGTTTCAACGACAGCTCTGACTGCCAACTTAAGACAACGACTCGTGTGACCCATGCCGTTGTGTAGCGCACGCTTATAAAGAGCCAGCACACTATTCCACCTCCCAATCTGTGCATCCGCTCTCATGGATTCGAAGGCACCCACCTCGTGGGCAGGGCTTGCCATGTAAGCTCTCAACCGGACTTGTTTGGCCCGGGGGCTTGTGGTATTCGTCAGGTTTTTGTAACATTGATCGAGGCCAGGGAAGGCGGTGCTAATGCCAGCACCTTTCATGGCATGGTACAGGTCGGACAGCTGTTTATCGTTATACTTCCAGTTTCTGCGGCAACTGGCCAACATTGCGGTCCAGAATTTGCCGTCGGCGGTGTAGCCGGAATCCATACAGAATACCAGCCATCGCTTCAGCGCCTGCGTGTCGCGACATTTTGCATGTCTGTCGGCAATGAATGTGACCAGGTGGCGGTCAAGGCCTAATCCGAATTCCGAGATGTACGTTTCCATGAAAGTCTCAACCTCGCCCCAAGTGTGAGTCTTCGCATACGTTTCTAGTACGGCCGCAAATACGCGACGAAAGTGCCGTTCGTTGTTAGGGTTGGCCGTTTGCACTGTCTTCATCGCCTCAAATTCGCTGAAGACTCCAACCCAATTCCCCTGCTTGGCGTTTTGAAGGGTGAATTGGCCGAGTATCTTGATATCAGTTTGAGCTTTTGGGTATATAGATATAAGTTCCTCCATGAGCAAATCTGCTCTCTCGGCTTGTTTAGCCTCGATGCAGACTCGCACCATCCTCGATCGAATTTCGAGAGTGTCTTGGATACCGTAAAAATCGTGATCCCTTGCGTCTTCAAAAAGCTGAAGCGTCTCCGTGAAATTGCGTGTCGACCTCCAACGCACCCAGATGAAGTCTTCCAACCATTTCCATGGCACGTCCCATCCATCGCGCTCCCTCAGCAGGTTGAATGTCTGGAGAACTTCGCGACACTGGTAGCCTCCAGTTGCAACGACTGAGTTGACAACGTCCATGCAGAGACGCTTAGAGTATGTAGAGGTCTTTTTCAACTTGGCGAAGATTCCGATAAATGTGTCGATGGCCAGTGCATGTTGCTGATGCTCGAAGAGTTGCCTCATGAACCAGACCATGGTTCCAAGCTTGTCGAAACTCCAAGTAGAAACTTGTTGAAAGATTTGGACAACGTCAATGGGGCGCGCATCCTCCTCTGCCAAGGCTTGACTGATCAAGTCCTTGCCCACTTTCACGTAGCCAGACCGTATTTTCGATTTCTCCAGCGGCGGCAACAGCAAGTTGCTAACATACAGCCTTGCCGCTGCTTGTAATCGTTCGGGGGCAGATTCGTCATTTTGAGGTTGGTGCGTCGTTGGCGAGACGAGGGATGTGGCAAACTCAAGAACACACTCCGCCAGCGCGTCGTTCTCAGTGGCCACTTTGTGATGGACCGCAAATTCCAGTATCTTTCCGGCACTTCTAAAATCGCTCCACCGGGAGCAAGCTTTTGATAGCAGCGAAGACAATTCCGAAAACCATTCAGGCAGCATTTTTGACTGGTCCACAAACCGATAGGCTCGAGCAACAAGATTCAAGGCTGCGGGTGGTATGTCATTTTCGCGCCGTATAGACGTCGAATTGCGAAGCAGTTCCTCTAACCCAGCAGTCTGAGAAATAACACCATGGTGGTTGCTTAATACACGTTCTACCGCCAGATCAATGGCGTTCTTTTGTGCTGGCTCTCCATTTGGTTGGTTTCCGCACGACCTTAAAACGCAGTCTCGAGCAGACAAGTCCTGTATCGCAGGGGTTGCGGACGAGAAACGGGACACAAAGGGATCATGCCTCTGTCTCTGCGTAGCGTTCAAGGTCGGCCGGCCACTCTTTTGCGTTGTCTCTCGCTTGTCTATCGTCTTTTGTGGAAGATCTCGTTCGCTTGCTGCCCTTGTTGGGCGTCGTGCGTCTGGGCTGGTTTCGTTGACGTGTTGATCCAGATATGAGCTATCGAACACCAATCTGCCGTGTTCGTGTGAGGAGTCGCGACTCCGAGACCGTGTTGGCCAGCTAACGAAATTTGGGTCAGTGGCGACCTCTTCCTGGAGAGCCTCGAGAGCAGCGACGCCACTGGTGCTGTATCGTTTCAAAGACTTCAGTCTTCTGCCATTCTCGACTGCTGATCGTGCTATCTTGATTCGCTGGCGACGCTCTTCCGCTAAGAGGACGAGAGAGCAAGAAGTCCCAAAGAGAAGACCTCGAAGTGCATGAATCGCGGCTTTCGAGGGAACGGGGGCGGGGGCAGACATCGTGCAAGCTCGACAATTGCCATGATCGTTCGCGACTTGACTATCGGATCATTTCGTAGTCGCAAGAGGTCAATCGCTCGAAGGGGGGCTGTCGCAATGTCGGACGTGGTTGCCAATGGGTCGTTGAGACTGTCAGTCAAAAGTTGAAGGACCCTTGTCACATTTACGCCCACTGTCGTACCACCCTCGGCCTTTGCTAAGGTATCTATCTCACCTTATGCAGACGCTTTTTGCCCGCTGACTGCTGTCCCGGCGGGCTGGATTGGGATGAAGAGGAAAAGGAGTTGATCCGTTCCGCCCTCGAGCTTAGCGTCTTAGTCATCATCTGAGCAGACATGCAGGAGAACCGAACCCGAACCCGAACGCCAGCTTCCGCTCGGCAGAAAGCAGCTCTAATCGCCCATATCGTGAAATCCATCCACTCCTGTTTCTAGAAGCTCTCGAATTCGAATGATCTCAGAAGCTGTATTGTCATCTTGTCCTCCGCTGATCATTTGTTCTACTTCATGCAGCAAGCCTAGCGCAAATCATGACCCAAAGAATAAAAACCAGGCTCACTAGACACGCTGCTTTGTGCGATGCTTTGAACTCGTGGGCAGTCTTGAGGTCAGGTAGAGTGAAGACAGAAAGGAAGGTTTCGATTTCCAATCATCATCTGCCGTCGGAGAAGAAAATGTATCGTCAGCTTTCAGTCATCTTGGAAGTCCACAGGGCAGACCTGCAAGTCACTGGAGACTTCATTTGGTCCGATTGCTTGACATCAGTACGCCCGGCACCTGCAGCTCGCAACCGGTAGTGCGAATCGTCGGGTTTAAGACCGGTGATTAGGCACAAAGCATCTCTAGTGTGAGCTAAGGTGGGATGCGGGACTCGGGGAGGGTTCTAATGCATGGCACTTCGGCTGGAGCATCACGGACTTGGAGACTGGCGCAGGAGCTAACTCTAAACATCCACATATCCAATTGGACTGACAGCGTCTGAAGAGACTGGAAGAGCTACCTTACAATGAGATCATCTGTGCCTTGATCTACCTACCTTACAGTCTGCCCTGCCAACTGAGGGGGGCCTGCCTGCCGTCCTGTCATGTTGCCTGTCGTACGTCCCGTTTCGTCCGGAGGGGAAAGAGCGGTCGGTATTAGTTGATCCCCCGCCTTCCTCCTCTGAGTCTCACTCTTGGAGAGATATAAATTCCACCTCAGTCAGCTCGCAAACTCGTATTCTGACCGACCTGACGACCTGACTTTATCCTAAATTCTCTTCATTCTGGGCTGCATTCGACTTACTTCCTCATACATCTCACAATACCTATCATCATGTCGGCCCTCCCTATGGCAGCTCCGCCCAAGAGCCCCTTGGCTCGTTACCGCATTCTCTCTCCGACGGCTTCCGTTCGCGTGAGCCCTCTGTGTTTGGGCGCCATGAACTTTGGCGACGCCTGGTAAGATTACTTTGAAGAGACCTGTCTCAGACATCCTTTTCTAAGAAGTTTGACAGGAAGGGATACATGGGTACTTGCGATCAAAAGACTGTCGAAGAGATCCTCGACTTCTTTCATGAGCAGGGGGGCAACTTCATCGACACCGCCAACAACTACCAATTCGAAGAGTCCGAAGAGTGGATTGGCGAATGGATGAAGAAAAGAGGCGTTCGTGACCAAATGGGTAGGTTTGAGCATCTAACCCAGTGGGAGCTGTATCTGAAATGGAGACAGTCATTGCAACCAAGTATACCACAAACTTCCAAGCGGGCCCCAACGCGCCGGGCATCATGGCCAACTTCACCGGCAACGGATCCAAGAGCTTGCATACCTCTGTAGAGGCAAGCTTACGCAAGCTGAAGACCGACTACATTGACCTCGTGAGCAGCTTTGTCTCTTATCTTTCAAGCGATGTCACTTACACAGAGCAGCTCTACGTCCACTGGTGGGACTATTCTACTTCTATTCCGGAGCTGATGCAGTCTCTCAACAACCTCGTCATCACCGGCAAGGTCCTCTTTCTCGGCATCAGTGATACCCCGGCTTGGATCGTCAGGTAAATTCTATCAGGAATCATCCCCATCAAAGGAGCTGGTCTAACTTCCTCATTAGCAAGGCCAATGAATACGCCAGAAATCATGGACTACGCCAATTCTCCGTATATCAAGGTCGATGGTCTGCTGCCTCACGAGACTTCGAGCGAGAGATCATTCCCATGACCAAGGCTGAAGGTTTGCAGCGTCTTTATAGCGAGATTGGGAATAAATTCTGACACTATATTAGGAATGAGCTTGGCACCCTGGGGCGCGCTCGGCGGTGGCGTGAGTGCTCCTAACTCAATGTTAACTGATCAGAGAGGACAACGACTAACTTGGAAACAGGCTTTCAAGACGGAAGAGCAACGCAAGTCCCAGGAGGGCCGCAAAGTTCAGGCTAGCGAAGCGCAAATCAAGATCAGTCAGGTGCTGGAAAAGATCGCCAACAGCAAAGGGACAATCATCACGAGTGTTGCTTTGGCTTATGTCATGCAAAAGACGCCTTACGTCTTCCCCATTGTCGGCGGTCGCACTGTCGATCATCTGAAGCAAAACATCGAAGCATTAGCCCTGGATCTCTCCGATGAAGAAATTCAGGAGATCGAAGGAGCTGTGCCGTTCGATATGGGCTTCCCCCACAACTTTTTATGGGGAGAGAAGGTCCCGTCGAACCCTGGCGAAGTCTGGTTGTTGAACATGGGAGGAACTTTCGACTATGTACCAGAGCCCAAGGCTATCGCACCCAAAGAAGGCGGAAAGTAGTACTATCGAGTGCGGAATCAGTACAAAAGGTGGCGGCCGATGGATTACTGAAAGGCTGTTGAAAAGCGACATGGTTCACAACCGCTGCTTGGCTGCCGTTCAAGTGCAATTTCATACACATTTCTGGCCAGATTCTGATCCAGTTTGCGATGCTGAACCTGGTCAAAATCTGCAGACTCATTGCTCCTGGAACTGTCATCAGTCTGTTTGAGGCTCTGCAGTGTATCATGCAGCTTACTTTGCCTAGACGCCAATCACCATGCATTCTTTCCGCATCGCTTACGCAGGCAGGATGAAAATCCTTGACTGGAACTACTGGCTTTCGGTGACTTATTTGAAAGAGATGTAATCAAGGCTGGCGCCTGGAAACTCGAAATGTTGTACCCATTCTTGTGATGTCTGCGTGTTTTGCAACATTCCCTCCAATCCGCCAGAGGCAGCGAGCGCATGACAATAGACCCCCAACTACACGAGGGAAATTCACCGAAATCAAGGATACAATAGTACATCGAGAATGTGTGAAGAAAGTACAAGGTGAGTGATCATCCAGCTAGTACAATCAGACGAGCACTACATGGCTTTTTATGACTTGCTTTCCAAACAATCCCTAGATGGGTTCGAGTCAGCACCCACCGTGAGGACTTTGCCACGCGAGAAAGCAATTACTCTAGTGCCTGTTGTCGTAGCACGGGCAAGGAAGGCATAAGGTAACGGGGAGTATCGCAGGAGGTACCTTCCTCACTTTACTTACAAAGCAGGAGCAGTAGCTCCATCACTCGCTCTTTCCTAAGACGAACAACTCATCAGCTGGCAACTACTTGAGAAGCACTCTTGGGCATTTCCTGCCATGATTTGACCCCTGTTCTTCAATTTTTAACAGATTTCCTTCCACTTGTCTTGATTCCCAAGCCGTACGTTGTTTGATTCTGATTCAATTATGTCGCCGTGAGTCTAGAAGCCTGCCTCTCAGAGCTAGCTAATTAAGGTGACAGGCTTCAGGGGATTATGTCGGCTTCTAAGGATATTTTCACATTCGTCAGAAGGCAAACATTCGAATCGGAGCCCCATAGAACATTGCATGCAGTCAACGACGCCAGACGAAGCCTGCCGGGCTTTTCACAAGACATCAATCCAGACACCCTTGCTGGGGTAACCGTGAAGGTCGAAGAGTCAGATCAGAACTTCGGCACGTGGCAGTTGGTCACTCACGACCAAAGCTCTCCGCTCCCAAGCATCGAGGAAAGCTTGTCAATTGGCGAGTCACCGCCTCAAAGTATGGGGAGCACCATGCCCGCCACGCCCCTCGACGTTGATTATAGTTTTTCGCCTTTCCCAAAATCGAGTAGTCAATTCGATCGAAACGAAGGTAAGTCTCATGCGATGAAAGGCGATTTCTTCTGACAGCTTGACTAGCATGGGATCCCGCAGGAGATGTGCCGGTTTCAAAACAATATCAGTTATCTGCGCCAAAGATATCAAGCCCCCTCAAGAGACAGCGCGGAAGGCCGTCCTTGAGATGCCATACAAAGATGACCATTGATAATTACAAGATGTTAACAGCACCGGAGAGATCCCAGGTGCCGATGTATCAGAGTATCAGGGATGGCTTTGATACAAGAGAGATCAACGGCTTCACCAAGCTACAGAGCACGAGGCGGCGAAAGAGATCACCAGCCCCGCCTGGAATAGGCTCTCTTCCTGTATCTTGCGGCATCAAATCTGCATCATTTCGAAGCAATACAAAGAGTACGAGGATGCGCGAAAGATTTGTCATCGACTCTGATCTACAAGAAATTACCAGAGTCAGGGCTTCATCTAAAGCAGTCGATCTACTGGCGATGCCAGAGTCCCAAGGAGAGGCAACTTTGAATTACTTCCACCATACCAAGAGGAACAATATCAACGAGGATTCCGGAAGCCCCAGAGTCTTACCATCCCTCCGCACCATCGAAGTATTGCCACGGCATAGAAGATCGAGACACCGTTCCGGTAAACTATTCATCTTATCTGATGATGTTGAAGAGATCGAGCCCGCAAGACACGACGCCTTACAGTCGGACCGAGCGTGCGCAGTCTCCCGTGGTGATTCTCACGTAGGCGCATCAAGCCTCTCGCGGGAGGCTTCAGCCACAGCGCTGGTTGGCGACGTTTTTGACGACGAGCTGGGTACGAATCAGCTGGCAGCAACAGACAGTACAACACCGGCCAACACCATGACTAAGATGAAGCCAGATGCCGAACATAAGACCTCCCTTGGTCTCATGAACACCGGGGAAACATATGTAGATGGAGAAACCCCAAAGGCTTGGCCGGCTGGGTTACAGGGAGAATCGGTTTGGACTGGCGCATTCACAGACCTTAGACCACGTCCCAATGGAACCTTTTCCAGCGAAAGGCAGAGTTATCAAAAACAAGAACAAGGCGCACCTAGTTGCTAAATAGCAACACAATGGAGATGTGGGTATGCACGCGAATTTCAGGAATGCGGAGAAGATGGAGGCATGCGTGATCATCGTAACTGTGTACAAAGCTTCCTCGCTGGGAGACTCTTGGGAGAATTAGCTTGATGGAGACTATCAAGATTTATCAACAGCCACGCTTCTCACCCAATACCATGGGTATCATCTGATATAATAGATACCAGGCTTTTCCGTTAACCTCCCAGTCCTTGAAAAAGAAATGCTTGCATATGTAAACCACCTCAAACGCCGTGCGCCCACAAGTCTTGTAAGATTCCATCACAGGTTTCTAAAGGCCGTAGTCGATCACTTCGCACCCTTGCCCTTGGCTTCCGTTTCGCCAAGCTCACGGATGAACACGCTTGCCTTGCCTTCAGCGCTATAGTCCTCCATGCCTGTTTCGAAACCTGGGCAGACACCAACGGCAAGGTACTTGCCATCCTTGGAGAAAGCTAGAGCCGCGACGCTATCGGGGAACTTTTGGTACTGCTTCATCCTGCGCTTGGCCTCGGCGTCCCACAAGGCGACCGTCCCATCACCACCACCCGAGGCAAAGGTGCCGTAAACGGGGTGGAACGTCATAGCGTTGACCGGGTACACGATATCGCCCTCGCCATCAGGCGCAGCCGCACGATGGCACTTGAAGGCGTACTTGCGAGCCTGGGACTCGGCCGAGTCCTCGAACCATTCGACGGCGACGCGACCCTCGATACTGCTAGTGGCGTAGCCGGCATCGTTGGGCATGCATGAGATGGCGCGGGTGAGGAACTTGAGCGACGACTCGCGCTGCTGCCAGGGCTTGATGTCGTGAGTGCCGGGCTCAGCGAAGAGGGCGGGGATGTTGGTCAGGTCGTAGATGTTGACGAGGCGTGCGGTCATGGCAACGACGACCTTTGAGGGGCTAGCTGCCAAGGCATGGGGCTTTCCGGGCAGCTGGACGGTGATGTTCGTATCAGAGGGCGACTTTGCGTTGTGAATCTGGAGGGTGAGGTCCCAAGAGGCGGAGATGAGGAGAGCTGTGAGGTTGGTCAGAACGGCGCGGCGAAAGGTCGGCATAGCTGTGACATCACTCACAGTGCTCTGAGCTGTAAACTACACATCGTGCAGGCGCGCCGTGTTGCGCAATGACTTGCTTCTCTTCTGTCTCAAGGTCGATCCTGAATAGAAAGCGTCAGCTTCGTCCAATGGCCAGTGGGAGCTTCATGGTTCGCCATACTTGTAGACGCAGTGGTCTAAACACGCCGCGTAGGCCTCGTTATCTGTCGCGCCAAAGGTTACGTCCAGGACAGGCGCCCGGAACTCAATGGCTTTGATGAGAATGCCTGGCGCATCTTCGCCTCCGCTATGTGTGTCGTAGAGGTAGATCTTCTTGTCCCAGCAGGACACCAGAAGTCTGGTAGGCGACTCGGGCGCATATGAAAGCGAGGAGATGGCGTCGCTAGGCGGTTGCGCCAGCTCGAATTGGGATGCTGCTGAAGTATTAGTAGTTGGTCGATATTGTTGGAGCGAGGTTTGAGGTCGAAGTCCCCCGAAAACTCACCGGGTGCCATTTTTGGGATTATTGTTCTGATGTTGTTGAAGCTCTTACGGTGAAGTAGCTCAATGCGCCTCTAACAACAAGCAGCTCTGGGTGTACCTGGGTGCTAGCTTCTGGGGTCTGTTTACCTGAACAATTTGGTTGGAGGGGCGCTCACGTGGCGATAAGCGAAGCAGAGCTTATCGGTCGAATCAGCACCGATTCTGCCATGGACTACCGCCCCGAAAGCACCCCCCACCATTGTTCGGATTTCTGCGATTTGTGAACCGCAGTAGCAAAATTGTGACTCGATCGCCCAATCACCAACGTAACGCCGCTCACACCCAAAAGGTTGCTTCTTTCGCTTTTCGACGTCGCCCCCGAGCAACTGATCCCACCGCAAGCGATATCAAGACCGACGAGTAGGCCGACTCTCCACCGAGCACAGAGGAAACAAGCTATCCAAAGACCGGAAGGACGTGTAAAAAGCCCGCGCACCTTCTTTCGCACCCCGCCCCTCCACACCTGTTGGCCGACCACCTTCAACAACACCACCCAACCGCCACCACCACCCTTCGTACTCGACGACATCGAGCACCAGTAGCCAAGATGGCGGAACCGAACTACAGTCACTTTCGATACTTCGAAAACAAGTACCCCGAGATCGATGAGTTCGTCATGGTCAACGTCAAGCAGGTTTGTGCCCCGCCGGCCCAACGCACACGGCGAACCGAACCGCCCCAACCCACCCGGTCGCCGTGGATATGAAGGGTACATGAGAGCGAGAGAGAGGGAACATCCGGGTCTGACTGGTGATATAGATTGCCGAGATGGGTGCCTACGTCAAGCTTCTCGAGTACGACAACATTGACGGCATGATTCTGCTTTCCGAACTTTCGAGACGTCGCATCAGAAGTATCCAGAAGCTCATCCGTGTGGGCCGCAACGAGGTTGTCGTCGTCCTTCGTGTCGACAAGGAGAAGGGTTATATCGATCTTTCTAAGCGTCGTGTGTCGCCAGAGGATATCATCAAGTGCGAGGAGCGGTACAACAAGGGCAAGATGGTCCACTCCATCATGCGCCACGTTGCCGAGAAGACCCTCACCCCGATCGAGCAGCTCTACGAGACCATCGCATGGCCCCTCAACAAGAAGTACGGCCATGCGATTGACGCCTTCAAGCTGTCTATCACGTGAGTTGAGGACTATGTTTCGCTATAGCAAGAGAGATTGTGAATACTGATGCGTAAGTATAGGAACGCCGAGGTCTGGAACGACGCCACCTTCCCCAGCGAGGCCGTCTCCGAGGAGTTGAAGTCATATATCGCGAAGCGTCTCACCCCTCAACCTACAAAGGTCCGTGCCGACGTTGAGGTCACCTGCTTCGGATACGAGGGTATCGACGCTGTCAAGAACGCCCTGCGCACCGCCGAGGCGCGCAACGACGACCAGACCCAGGTCAAGGTCAGACTCGTTTCCCCCCCTCTGTACGTTCTGACCAGCACGTGTCTGGACAAGAACCTCGGTATCACCCGCCTCGAGGAGGCCATTGTCGAGATCCGCAACAGCATCGAGGCTGCGGGCGGTTCGTTGGTGGTGAAGATGGAGCCCAAGGCCGTTACGGAGAGCGACGACGCCGAGCTGCAGGCTCTCATGGAGAAGAGGGAGCGCGAGAACGCCGAGGTCAGTGGTGACGAGAGTGTCTCTGAGAGCGACGACAACCCGGAGGTTTAGATTTTTCCTTTAGAGTCAACGTCATCACAACAAAAAAGGGGCGGCTGGTAGAATGAGCGTACTGGCAGGCTGGGAATCCAGAGTGATTCTAATGAGACGACCAAAAAAGAGTCTAAACATTTCAAAATTATTTCGTCCTGGCTGATTGTGAGTGAGCGACGGACTGATGATACTATGGGACGAATGATCCGTTTCAATAAATACGATGTATGGCCGACCTTACCACAAGCTAGGGCACTTAGCGAGAAGACGAATATGTCTATTATAATCAACCCAATTGATGACAGTAGCTTTCCCCGGACACTACCTGACGGCTCATCAAAGAACAAATGTCAGTGACACCCCCCTAAGTAAAGCCGTCCTCCAATAGCCGAATCCGCATAACCACAAACAGTACCGATGCTTGTGGACTTGCCATTGTATCGGCGCGGACGTCGTTATTGTTGTTGCGGTGACCGAGCGGTTTAATCTCCTGCGTGGAGCAGAATGCTCCTGACGGTTTCATTGGAGGTTCTCAATCGAGGCGAGATGCTGGGGGCAAGAACGACTAGTTCCTAGATACCTACCTGAGGAGACTGCTTTGCCAACCCTTCATCCGATAACTTTCCTATCACCTGATTACACCAGAATATACACAGGAAGCCCATTTAGGTAGGTCCCTCTAATTCCATTCCAGTCACCAACCAGAAGGCGCCCGTCTAGGTCGACGGATCAGGTAAAACTGGCTAGGTGGTGGAGAGGTTTATGGTCAACAATCAAAAAATTCAGTCGCGCCAACAGCCTACTCGACGACAGGCTACGAGTTCGAGTTCGATTCCCAGCATGAGAACCAAGAGAAGTAGCCCCCAAATCGGCACCGCGGGGGTGAACTCTTTCCTTTTTGGGTTCAAATTGTGATGTTCTTTGTTCGAAGTATATATTGCATGTACTAGAAATTTCGTGATCCTCGTCTCACCCTAGAGATTTAAGAATAAAGAATATTTGATTCATTGAAGATATATATGACTAGAAGATTGGGCCTGAGCAACAGAACGTAAAGAGACGAATCGGCAGAGGCAATCGTGTCATATGATTACTACACTTCAACTCGATTGTGCGGTTCATTACTTATCTTTCAATGTTCTCTGCTGACCAAGATAAATATTAAATAATCATCATTTTCATACAATTGTCAAATAAAGAGATATCGAATCGTATGATGGAATCTCGAAAGTCCCGCATGTAGGGGGGGAGTTGTTAGGCGTACCTTAGTTGATGTTCCCAAAGCTCCAGTACTTTCTGGTGATACCTTAGAATTGATAAGATAAGAGATAAGATAACAACATGAGATGATGGCGAGCTCGAAACCTTCCTCGCGACAATTCTACCTGCAACAGGAGAGAAGGCGCTGTTCCCAAGGCACAGCGCGGTAAACCTCCGCGAAAACCTGACAATATCTTGCGCCCATGGCTTCCCGTTCGCTATGGGCGCGCGCACGAGGGAGCTTCCTCGGTGACACCACGCTTCGCCTGCTTGGGCTTGCGACATGGATCCCGGTCGTGATTACATTCAACGACCATGTTGCGACCATCACGAGCATCAGCGGCGGCTCCATGTACCCCTACTATAACGAGGATCGCAATAAGACGACTGCAAATGATATGGTGCTCAATTGGAGGTGGAAACCCTCCTACGGGCTCCAGAGAGGCATGATTGTCACATTTAGGTGCGTTTTCACTTGCCCTTCGTAT